CGCTTGCGAGAATTCAGGGATGGAACCTCGGTGACAGCTGGGGGAATTTATTCACACTGTCAGGACACAGGCTTACACTTCGAATCAGTTCCAACTCTTTATTTTTAAATCCCCCAGCTGGCTAAAGACTTAGAAGGAAAGATGAGACAATCATTTGCGTCTTGTCCCAGATGGGCTGTCACTAAGAGGGTCCAGGAAAAGGCTACCAGGGCTGGGCTGGTATGCCGGTAGCTTTGCAACAGCTCCTTGGAAGCTGAGTGGCAGGAGGCGGTCTGCTGTGCAGGCCGGGTAGCAGCAGCGACCCAGCCCCCATGACTTAGAAACATTTCTACAGGCAGAGAGAAGCTGTGATTGGTCCAGCTTGAGCCCAGAGGGGGCACTGGCCGCCTGCTGTGCACACCCTCTTCACTCCCACTGACCAAGCCTCGCCAAAGGGCAGACCCCGGGAGAGCACATGTCCTGCGTCTCTGGACAGAGGAATACAAGCCAAGGGTCCTGGCTGTAGTGGACGCTTCGTTTTAGATGCTCAGCATCGGAACGCCCTTCCTGGGTCTGGGGGGGGGTGGTCCCCCATGTTATGAAGCCGGCCCCGCCTCCACTCGAGGAGGAGGAAGTCTCAGATGCTGGCTTTTCCGACCTCCCTCTCAGCTGACAACCCCGCCCCAGCTGATGGAACACACCTGCCAGAGTCTGACTTGACGGCTAGTGACTGTATGAAACCTACTCTGTTGACAGGTGGCAGCCTCTACGTTTAGAATAGTTTCTGAAAGAGAGGAGGCGGTGGTCCTCGTGACATTGGTCAGCGTTGGGGGCATCTGCGGTGTAAGCTCCAGGGCGTGAGCCCGGTGACCTGGGGCCTTGTTCTTGGCTGGGGAGTCGCCAAGTCTAGTGATCATGTGACTTATCCAATATCCTTTAAGAAACGTGTTTCCTACCCAGCTAGAGTTGCTGTCTGTAATTTGCAACTAACACAGTGGTGAAAGGTGACACAGAGGCCGTGAGAGAATAGAGCCAGTGACTATGAATTCTCCTTGGCAAGTCTATCCTGGGCTTGTATCTGGAAAGGTCTTTCAAAAAGGAAAACTGGAAGGCGTAACCATTGCCCCGTGCCCATTTCAGAAGTAGCTCGGGGCCACACCCTTAGCGCACCAGCTGGAGGCGTCTGGCGGCCACCCCGCTGAGACAGGTCAAAGACGCTCAGGATTGAGGGCCGACGCATGGCTGTCCTGGTGGAGCGGTGCTAGGAATGCTTCCATGGGACGCCGGACAACGTGCCTCCTTAGAGGTCTTCTCAAACGACAGGCGTTTCTTCATCCCGCCACGCTGGTCCGTATTCTGTGGGCAGAGTGACGCCTGGGTAATACTGTAATAGGCCCCCAGTAAGTGCCTTCTTGAGCAATCCATTTTTCAGAATAGCTGACATACTGCAACAAGACAGAGGGAGGAATCACGTGACTTCAGAGTTCAATGGTTACGATGATGCCAGTCCTTCTAAGAAGGCATTTTTGCCAAAATTGCACATATGTTCCTTAAAAACATACACAGTTGTTTTCGGATGGAATTTTTCCCTCTCCCAAACTATCAAACACTGTGTGCTTTGGGTTTGAGAATTGGTCTCTCTTGCGGTTTCAGGGGTCTTGTTCCTCAGAGAATTCTCTTGGTAACTTAAGGATACAGCTTCTCCTAAATGGCTTTGAGGGAACAAGGGCACACTGGGCTCTAAGAAGGTGGCAGTGTGTCTTTACCTTCCCCTCACAAGCAGAGTTATCAGTGGCCAAGTCCGGGAGAACAGAAGGCATTCTGGGAACATGCGAAGTGCAGAGCTGTACAGAACAGATGGCAGGGACTTCAAAAGCATAAGAGTCACCTTGAAAGATGATGGCGCCAAGGGAGGGGGTGGGAGGCTTTTGTACCTTTTGACAAGGAAGCAGGGAAGACAAAAGCGATTTGCCAGACTCCCGCGCAAGTCAACAGAACTGAGAGATGCTCTGCTGTCATTTACATCAAGGGAGGCCGAGCCACCTGTCTTCTTGTCCAGAAATAAATGGCATCCATCAACTGACAAACTTGTTTCTCTTGCCTCCTGATCTTCTGGTCTTTTTTCTTTCTTTTACACAAGGAGCATTTATATCCTCTCTATCCAGGCAGCTATTGCGTAACGATCTCTCCTTTTATTCGCCGCATCTCAGGGGAGTTGCAGAGGCTCTGACCTCCGGGCTGATGTCCACTGGGGAGATGCTGGCTTGACCGGACAGCCTCCCGGCTCCCCCAGCCCAGCCTGGGTTGCTACTGGGCATATCTGGCTTCCTGTGACTGGAATTCAAGTTGATTAGTTTTGTTACTCCTTAGCTGCAGAAAAGGGTTTACCGAGAAATGAAATGAAAACGCTCTGTGGCCCGGCACCCTCTTAAACAGAGCTCTCTTATTTCTGCACATCTGCCATACAATCATCATCAGTATTTTAACCCCAAGGCCCTGCAAATTCCAGAACTGCTTTCTATGACATTCAGGTTCTTCTTTTTTCCTATAAAATGTATGCATGTATTTATTTATTAATTTATTTTTGGCTCTGCTGGGTCTTCGTTGCTGCCCAGCCCCAAGGTGCCAGGGGCTCCTGGTATGGAAACCTGGGCCCATCCGCAGAGGCCAGGATGGTGGCAGGACAGGCCTCTCCCATCCCCCTCGAACATCTGTTCCTCTTCTTGGTGGTGTGGGCCTCAGCTGCTCGTAAAAGGGATCAAGCCTCAGAAGGCTGTTCTTCTTTGAAGCTGACAGCTTGGTGCCTGTGGAAATGTGGTACTATTTCAGGATTTCATTTCAAAGAGGTTTCAAAAGAGTGAATCGAAGGCTCAGTTGAATTGCTTATTATGGCTCTTCTCCTGGCCGCCCGCGTCTCGGTTGGTGAGCCCAAACACAGCATCTGTGACTTTGCGCGTCATCCACAGGCAGGTGATCGTTCTAAATTAGCACCTGGCTCATTCTGGAGGGCTGTAACTCTTCTCGAGCCTTTGCCCAAGAAGCAGCCGGGCCTTTAGCGGCTTGTACCTTTCTTACATTATCTGTGTTTGAAATGATCCACCAGGGAGTCTATCTGGTGAATGACATGAGTCTTATGTCAAGCATGTCTTAAAGACACCAGAAATAAAGGCCATGAAAATGCGACTATGAAACGTGGGTGGCTGTGACCCCCCCTGGACCCGCCGAGGCAAATGAGAGCAAACTGGCTTCCAAGGGAAGACGGGGCACAAACAGGGAGCACAAACACGGGGCACAAAACGGGGCACAAACAGGAAGGCTCCGGGCACTGTGGGGGGCACGGCGCCAGGCCACCCACACTGTCTCCGGGATCTGCCATGCTGATGGCAGGGCTCTGGGCCGTCCCTACCTTCCCAGCCCAGCCCTAGCCCACCACGCTAAAGCCTGGTCATCTGTTCACACTGGCTTTCCTGCGCAGGCTGAGGGCCTTGAGCACCGAGTCACGGACAGAGCATCCCACACGTGCCGATGAATGACAGAAGGAACCATCTAGTAATCTGAGGAGAAAGGTTTGACATACCGACAGTAATAGGAAGGAGAGGGGATGTGGGAGTCCACTGGAGCAGAAATTGAGAGAGATTTTGGGCACTGTTCTTGTTTTTTTCTTTAGCGGTATGCGGGCCTCTCACTGTTGTGGCCTCTCCTGTTGCGGGGCACAGGCTCCGGACGCGCAGGCTCAGCGGCCATGGCTCACGGGCCCAGCCGCTCCGCGGCATGTGGGATCTTCCCGGACCGGGGCACGAACCCGCGTCCCCTGCATCGGCAGGCGGACTCCCAACCACTGCGCCACCTGGGAAGGGAAGCCCCCTGGGCACTTTTCTTTATGTAACTACTCTGTACCTCAGCAAGGAAAATATTATGGTTTCAAACAAATATGAAGCCAAGGCACTGATGTCCCGTGTAAACAGTGCCTGTGCACCACCGAGCGGGTAAGTGAGCCCAGACTCGTGTTCCACACTCTCTGCCCCAGGGGCAACTACAAAGTGTTTGGCTTGGACTGAAGCGAGGCTCTTTAGCAGGAACTGTCCCTGCCTTTCCTCTGCTTCAAGAATACTGGTCAGTGCTGCATCTTGACTCTGAGGGGCACTGGGCACCTTGCTGTCCTCTCAAAGCAGCCTGAGCATCGGCCTTCTCCACCTTCACGCAAACTTCCACGCAAAGATCCAATGGCCAAGTTTCCATTTCAGAGGCAGAGTCATCACCAATCTAAGCCGTCACCCTCAACCAGCCAGAGCACACCACGAGGCCACCAGGTGACTGTCCTTCAGAGTCCGTTATCCACAGAAACGGTTTTCCCTGTTGTGTGTCATGCCCACCCCCCCATCCCCGTAAGACACCTGGAGAGAAACTCCATCCATCAGGACCTTGGCAAAGAAAGACTGGCGAGGCCCTGCCCCATCAGGATTTGTCCTCACGCCTCTGCAATCAAGGCCTCCAGCTACACCCCACCTGAGAGCCTTAAGGCAAAAGTGCTGCTGTGAGAAGGGCTTGAGGCCCCAGCCTGGCTCTGCCGCAGAGGGAAGCATTGTTTCTGAGCACGGCACGCACTTACTTCTGTGGCGTCTGGTGCTGCAGACTCATCACGTGGCTCCCCCAGAACACGGCGGACGTGCCGCTCCCTGCCGGCCGTCACCCCATGAGGGGGGCGGGGGCACAGGCCTTCCAGAGGGACTCCCTGCCTATGCCAGCCCCAAAACAACAGTTGGCCCAGGTATAAGAAGGGTTGGCTTCTCCTCTGCCTTTTTTCTTTTTGGTTAGATTCTGGAAGATGATGTGGGATTTTTTCATAAGGCAGGAGAAATCCCTAACTCACGGGTGGCCAAGATAAAATCCTTGAAGACCATGAGCCAAAGTCAAGTGGGAGCAATTTTCTAAATCTTGGTGAAGGCGAACCGTCACGCAAAGGTAGCTGCCAATGAGACAGCAACAGGCCAAGAAGGAAAGCAAGGCACAAGACAACCAAACCTCTGCAGAATGAGTTCTATTTGCTGCACATTTTGACCCACAGACAGACTGTACCCTGTTAAGATGTGCCCCTTGCCAAGGTCCGCAGCTGTGGGAAGGATCTTTTCATCTTGAAGATGTATCACTAGCTCACTGAACCTGTTCGGCAACTCTGCGAAAGCCAATTTAAGCTGCCTTCTCACTTCACTCTGCACTCACAAGAGGAGACCAATTTCCGATACCTCCTCAGACTCCAGGAGACCAGATGCTGTGACAAACTTCCCAGCAAAATGAATGCAAGAAGATGATCCCAGGGCGCTCCTCGGGGGCGGGCACAGGATTCTGCGGCTTGGACGTATACTGCTTTCAGGTGTGTTACTGCCACCTCCTCCCTGCCAGTGCTTCTGACGGGAAATGCTTTTGTGACAGCACAGGGGATCTTGGGGAACACAAGAAAGTTCCCACGAGAAAGCGACAGACTCAGAGCGCCAAGGCCCTACTGCATCTGGCAGCCTGAACTGGGCAGCAATTCCTGCAGATGAGAAGCCACTGCCTTCGTTAGGTAGGTCATTGTCCCATAAGCCCCGCTGGGAGCACTGTCGTAAAAGAAGTGGCAAATGCCCGTGTCTTGGTCCTTCTCCAGTGTGTCCGTGGCACCGATCGACATCTGCAGCAGGAAAGGGCAGAGGCAACACGTGAGCAGAGCTGGCGCTACCGGCCTAACGGGGGGACAGATGGCCTCTACTCTGGGCACCGTGTCCCCACCCGCCCGAGTTGGCAGCACATCACTGATTCTAGGATGAGAGGACGGCTTCTTCTAGCTCGACTTTGGTGCAGGCTAAGTGGTTGGTTTACTTGGGGCCAGACATGTCGCGAGGCTGGTGCTGGCACTAGAACCTATGCTGAAATGGGCCTGTCCATCTCCAAAGGTCTTTAGATCTCCCAGTGGCCACTGTGCCATTTTCAAACCAAATGGTTGACATTTTCCCACCATCTGTGATGACATTATCTTTGTTCGAGAATATTCTTTCCTATTGGTCACAGGATCTCCAGCCTCGACAGAGATAAATGCCAGCCAACCCGGCTGCACTGCCGCTGTCCCCACCTTGGCTCTGGGCACACCCACCTGGTCCTGCAGGAACAGCTGGTTGGCCACGTGCACGATCTGGTCCACATGGATGATGCCCCCAATGCTGTTCATCTCCGTGTCCGAGAGCAGCGTCAGCACCATGATGGCCTCCACCAGCAGCTGCCGGTACTCAGGCTGCGGCACTCGGTTCAGCACCGACTCAACGTGGACAGCAAACTTGATCTCCTGTGGGGTCATCTGCCAAAGGGACCAGCAGGGGGTCACGAGTGAACCGAGCACAGACACAGTCCTGTCACCCACGCTGCCCACAGCACCCAGTGGCTCAGCGTAAACGCTGCCTCCTCTCCGGCCACTTTGCTAATTCTGCCCACAGGAATCCTCTGGGGCAGGAAGCTGAAAGCTCTGCCCTGGGCGTCAGTCAGCCTTGTCCTAGCATTAGTCACCTATCCCGCTGGACTGCGACTTCCAGGGGCAGGGCCATTTCTTATCTCTCTTTCTTCATTATTCCTTGTGGCGCATAGCATGGTGCCTTGGGTGGTGTAAAAACTAAAAGATCCATTTTTTAAAAGAATGAATGGGGGAAAGAAACCAGGGAAGATGACTGCTCTCTGCCGTGGGTCCGATAAGCATGGCGAGCAACTTTGCTCTTCTCTTAAGAGAGTTTTCAGAAACAAATCTAAAGATGTCGATAGTCCAGACATGCTCTTTCTGAGGGGAAAGAGAAAAGATGATGCAACAGATGTGGGGAAAAAAAACTTTGCAAAACTTGAGGGTTAAGTGTCTAGAAAGATCGATCTACAAATGCCCTGTCTGTATGTAACAAGCTTGAAAGAAGGGTGAGTGGTCAGAGTCCAAGAGATAAAGCACTTAGTGAAAACTCACGGCGTTCGGGTTTTTCCCATCCTACCTCTCGCGTCGTCGAGGATGGAAGCACATAACCGTCGATGGACAGACCGTGACACTGGAGGCAGAACACGCATTTCACATTTCAGTCAGATTCCAGAACGCGATTAAAAACAGCGCACACACACTCAAGTCGCTCTGCCCTGGAAGCCAGCACGAGGACTGGCACACGCCAGACTGTCGGAGTTATTTTTAGAGGGCTTGTTCTCACTGCCCACAGGCTGTGTTTTTCGATGGAACCAGCAGGCATCGTTCAGATCTCACCCGAACAACGCCCCAGGGAGCTGCCGGGTCCTCCTCTGTGGGAGCTCCGAGTTTCACTTGGCAACCCGGCCCTGGCGGCTGAGAGGCCCCCTTTGGTGCCAGATAAAGGGAGATGTGCATGTTTCCTGCTGGCAAAGTGATACTTCTATGCCTTTGCAGGCATCTATTTTTGAGATTTCTATAATAAGCACCAATCACAAAAGACTAGAGCACATGCACGCACACGCACACCCGTGTATATAAATAACCAGCACTGGCTCAATACAAAATGCTGCTTTTTCATAATAAAAGCATCTTGGTATGAAGCCGGTGGAAGCCCGGCCCCAGGAACAGTTCTGGGCTCACAGGCTGCCTCCTGACTCCCTGTGCCCTGGAGACAGCAGCTGCACCGCCTCCGTCCCAGGTGAGCTGAGGATGCAGGGGCAGCAAACGCTCCTCCCTCCTGACAAGAGGCCTCTTCGGGCCCTGCCCCCACGTGGGGACCGGAGTTCAGCTGTGAGGACAGGGACCCCTCTGACCTCTCCATGCCCAGCTCCACGAGGAGGACCTCACAGGGGCCATAACGCAGCCGAAAGGGGCTGTGGCTTTGGGAAGGGGCTGCAGTACGGGGTCTTAGGGATGCCTCTTCTCTCCTCGCCTCTTCTACTGTGAAATGAGCTAACAAAAATAGTTTAGGGAAAAACTCGGTCCTGCCTGTGGTTCTTGGTTTGCACAGAAGCTTCTAATGGAGGCAGACAGTCTCTCTGGTGGGGCCCAGGGAGACACCGGGACGCTCTGAGGCTGATGTGGGAGCGAGACAGGAGGCGGGTGCAGGGACCAAGGGGCGTGGCTCCTGCGGCTGTTCTGGGTCAGCCGGGTTACGGCGTTTCATCCAGAGCTTTCCCTGCCTTCTCTGGTTCTTGCCTACCTTCTGACTTTTCTGCGTTCCTAAATTACGTCAAAGGTGGCCCCCCACAACCTGGGCTGCCACCTTATCTATCTTGTTGGGTTTCCAGCCAGTGTTTCTCAACCAGTGGCAATTTGCCTCCCAGAGGATACTACTCGGCAATGTCCGGGGACATTTTGGTTGTCACACTGGGGGAGGGGGTGCTACCAGCATCTAGCAGGTGGAGACCAGGGATGTCGCTTAACATCCCACAATGCACAGGGCAGCCCCGGAAGTGAGAATTACCCAGCCCCAAAAGTCAATGGTGCCGAGGGGGGAGAAACCCTGCTCTAGGCCGTGAGCTACCTAAGGTTGGGGGTTATGCGCCTGTTCTGCAGCCGCCTGCTACCTGTAGGTGCCAGCACGCCTCAGCACCAGTGCCTATGGGATGCAGCACAGTGGCCAAGCTCACCTTCTGAAGGATCTGCCACACCTTCTGGTAAAATCCCACGGGGACCCTGTTGATGGCCCCGTCCAGCCTTCTCCTGCGCAGCCACTGGCCCTGCCGCTCCCCCCAGCCGATGTGATGCCCACCTGAGTCTGACGACGACGTGCCCGTGGGTGAGGATGGGGTGCTGGACCTCTGCAAGACAGAAAAGGCGCGGCCTTCAGAAGCCTCACAGCCGGCACCCCATGGCAGTGCTGGTCACCGAGAGGGCGGCTCTGTAAACCAGTCAACACCACCAGCTGGATTCACTCCTTTCTGCCCCGGTCCGTTTACTAAGCTCCTTCCGTGCACTCTTCCCAGCCCCCAAGAGGAAGTACAGCATAAGAAGCCCCTGACCCAACGGAGAGGCCGAGCAGGTCAGGGGGTGGGCTCTGGGGGGGCTGCGAATCCCGACTCCACATCGGCTGCTCCAGTCTCTAACTCGCCGCGAGCGCGCTCAGCCTCATCTGAGCAGTGGGGCACAGGTGTGCACCCCGAGTGCAGATGCGGGAAACCCTGGGAGCACGCCCGGCCGTGGGGTCGGCAGGCACTGCTGCTGGAGGGCTTGGGGAGGCCTCGGACCTGGAGGAGGTGACTCCTCGGGCGCCGCAGCCCACGGAGACCAACGCCACAGTGACCACTTTCCTCCTGTGGTGCCGCGGAGAGTGGTGGTCACTCCCCCGGCAGCGCAGCTGCCACGAGAACACAACACAGCACAGGGCAAGGCTCTGGAGCCCTGGAAGGAGGGAAGGCTGGAACCCACGTTTGTGGCGGGGCCTCAGAGGCTATGGTATTTCCACCTTCCTTTTCAATTGCTTTCTACTTTGCCTGTTCTCAGCACGGCGCTTTATCCTAATTTGGGGCGATGACCACCTCCGAGCCGGGAGCCTTTGCTGAGGCAGGAGGGGTATCACCTCCTTCCCACCTCCTCCCCGAGGCTGGATTTATTCCGGCCTCCACGAGGGAAGCGCTGGGGCAGGGCCAGCAGTTTTGCTTCTGCCTCGGGAGCCGCAGGCCCGCCCACGACTGCGGAGGCAGCTCTGAGAGGCTCCCGGTGGGGCCTGAGACCAGGCCTGAAAGCGGTTCCCTCAGCGGCGGCCTCCCTGCGGCAAAGCTCACACCTGCTTTCTTCCCGTGGATGGATTCTCACCCCTTGGCCTCTGGGTCGGGGAAGGGATAACCTTCATCCTTACACATTATCTTTGTTCTGGACTACCTGGCACTTTCGTTTCTCAGTGTGCAACGTCAAGTTTAAAGGTTTAAAAATGCAAACCCAATGTTAAGCAGGCCAGCAGGGCCGGAGCCTTCTTGGAGCGCATTGAGACTTCATCGGATCTTATTTTGAAAAGGCTGTTAGGCTGGGTTATTCCATTGGGCTCATTACTGCCACTTAAATACGGCAACAATTAGATACAAATAAAAGTAATTACAGCCACGCTCATCAATGACTCAGCTGGTTTTCTGCCTCTAGTTTCGCAAGGAGGATTCAGACTCGCCTCTGCAATGAGAACGCTTCCCAGCCTTCCATCTCAGCTGCGGCCTCAAGCCAAGCGGGGGGGCATTCTGCGTACAAAGTGCCAATCAGCACGTGCTGGCAGTGGTTCACCCCCGTGACTCAACGGAAAGGCACAAAACCACTGCCTCGAAAGTTCCAGAAGCTCCTGGGAATTGGTGAGAAAAGTGCTCCTCAGTCACACCCCACCGAGGAGCATAAGCAGAGAGCTCAAGATGGAAAAACAGAGCTCAGTTCCACAGGTTCTCGGCTTTTTTCTAGCCTCTACTCATAATCATAGTCAAGTGGAAACACTTAAACCTGTTCACATCTTCGGGAGTTAGGGAGGTGGTGGGAGCACGAGAAGGGCAACGAGAGGATTCAGACACCATAAACGAGAAGGAGGTGGCGAAGGGGACAATGGCTGGGACACACTGTTTACCACAGACTTGGAGGAGTGTGCGCTGCCGGATGGGGCCTGAGCTACAAAACAAAGAGTCCACTCAGTCATGCGCAATGACGCCAAAGGATGCACGCAGAGAGAAGGAACACAGAACAGCCTCAGAGACAGCCAAGGAAGGAAGAGGCAGAGGATGCGGGTGGCCACAAGTTCTCACTCACCCCCCCAGGCAGATGGCCTGCAGCGCAGCGGGCAGAGCTCTGGGCTCGCGCAATAGAGGTCCCGGGAAATGCTTTCTCTGAGCGTGGAGTGTTCCCATATCTAGTCAGATGTGGAGGGTGCCTCATCAAGTTAGCACACGACTTATTTTCCAAACTCCCAGCCATGAAATGCTAATCTTTTATGTTAATTTTGGAAAGAGGATAATATACTTCTTTGATGTAAGTGGCCAAATATAAAACTTGTACTGGCTAACTGAATCTAAACCCATCAAAGAAAAAAGGTGATCATTTTGTCCCCATAATATGTAAGGACGGCACTAAATGGAGACGGAAGGAACCACCCATATTCAGCCACAGTCAGCGGCCATCGGGATGTAGGTAACAAGAGGGACAGTGCCACCTAGTGGTGGGCAAAGGAAGATGTTTGGAAAATCTGTTCCTTACTTGGAAAGAGCATAAATTCGAATGAGACAGCATGGACGTTTTTCCCCGGGACAACACAGAGAATCCGCGTGTCAGTATGTGACTCCTCTGAGCTCTCTCACAGAGACATTAAATCATTAGGAAAGGGACTCTGATCTTCTGGATGGAGGAGGCGAAGGAAGTATGTCACAAGGGTGACATAAAAGAACAGTATCCTTACATTTTTCTTTCCTTCCAGGGTTAAATTCCCCCAGGCAATCTAGGGACAGGAAGTAGCAGGATTCTTTCTACTGCTATAATCAATGACCACAATCTATTTGTCCCTATTTCTTCCCTTTTTTTGAACAGAAACTCCTGCCGAGGCAGAACCCGGGACCATCTCTTTCACATAGCCTCCTGTAAAATCCAAGAGTTTGATACATGGATTTGTTTAAAGGCGCAGGGCAAGGTCATTTCTCCTGCTTTCAAGTCCAGTGCTCTGCCTGTCCCCAGGGCTGCCTCCCACAGCCTGCAGAGTCCCCTCCACCCAAGCATGTTGGATGGGCAGAACCGTTCTCCACGCACGCAGACTCTCTGTACTCACAGCCTTGCTTTCCCCATTCAAGCCAGAAAGAACATGAAGCACAGTAAAGGAGGAAACAAGACAAAGAGGTTTCACCTGTTCATCGGCACTAAATCGCCTAGTCATCTGAAAGTAAAAATACATCAGAAAATAAACAAAAACCAGTTTCAAACCAAGGATGCCTTACTACTTCTATCACCCTCTAGATTATCCAAGGAAGTGTTGCTCCAGCTGCAGGGTGTGACCCTCAGTGCCTCACAGACTCAATCTACTGAGTCATCATTTGAAATGGAGAAGAAAATCCGAGTGCGTCTCTCACTGCAGGTCACGGTCAGAAGGAAAGAAACTATTTCCTACTGTAGATCACTGTCAAGTCCTACCACAGTAACCGGCACATTAGGACTGAAAGGCTGTTGACTTGCAGTCCTGTGGGATCAGTTGAGAAGGAACTTACTGTGAATTAAATAAAGGTGAGCACAAAAGAGACACCTGTGGATGGTGGAAAATAAAGGTGTCTCTGTTTCACCTGAAGGACACATTTGATGGAGAGATGATTCAGTTACCTTTTGCGCGACTCTACTTTTTAAATGGCTGTGATCCATTTGAATGACTAGTTCTCGGGCAACAAGCAAACACGGGGAAGGGTATTTTCCAGAATGCTCGCATAACACCTTAACGTTAAGGATGAGCATGTGTTGGGTGCACGTGAGTGGCTCTGGGATGTCTGGGTACAGGGTGTGTTCAGATTCCAGGACAGAAGGGATGGCACAGCCTTTACAAAGCAGGCTGTACCCTGCATGCCTTGGGATTCTATCACTTTCTGAGTTGAGCCCAGATAGGAAGACCACTTCTTTCCTGGCGCCGAGAGCTCTTCTTACCTGTTTCATCTCACTCCTCAGCCTGTTGATGCCAGTCCTCTCGGTTTTGGTGACTCCAGTATGTCCCACCTCATGGATGGAGATGGCAGGGCTGGATGTGGAGGAATGGACAGGCCGCACTGGAGGGGAAACACACACATCGTTCTTAGAAACGATATTTTGTCCACCCTGAGAGGAATACATGCATGTGCTTAGTTTTTTAATTAATTATTTTATTTTATTTATTTTGTTTTTGGCTGCGTTGGGTCTTCGTTGTTGCGCGTGGGCTTTTCTCTGGTTGTGGTGAGCGGGGGCTACTCTACTCTTCGTTGCGGTGCACAGGCTTCTCATTGCAGTGGCTTCTCTTGCTGCAGAGCACGGGCTCTAGGCGCGCAGCCTTCAGAAGCTGTGGCTCACGGGGTCTAGAGCGCAGGCTCAGTAGTTGTGGCACACGGGCTAGTTGCTCCGTGGCATGTGCCATCTTCGTGGACAAGGGATTGAACCCATGTCCCCTGCATTGGCAGGTGGATTCTTAACCACTGCGCCACCAGGGAAGCCCGCATGTGCTTATTTTTATCCGCGTCTCTCTCTCCCACTCGACCATGCACTCCATTAGAGGCGGCCGTGTCTGCCCTGGCCAGCGCTCTGTTTCCAGCACCTGGGGCAGCGCCTGCTACACAGCACAGGCTCAATATGTGTTTGAGTGGATGGGTGACAGAGTGAACATCACTTAAGCAGCATGCAGAAAACACTGAGTGGCCAGGAAACCCTTCAGTGATTTGTTTTACTTCTCCAAATGCACCCCCTTCCTTGCAGAAAACTGAGACCACCTAAATTAAGGTCCAGCCTTGGGGCCGGAGAGGGAAGTCCTGGGAGAACAAGCCGACCAAAGGCTGGAGGTGGCGAAGACACACAGAAGGGGCAGGGAGGATCCGTCACCTGGCTCCACTCTGCTGCCCGCCCTGCCCCCACTAACCGGTTCTCCGCGGTGTGCTCACAACGATCATTCTTAAAGGCACGTGTGACCATGTCACTGTCCACCTGGAATCCTTCTTCAGGTTAAAAGCCCTGTCTTCAGGTTAAAGCCTCAACAGGGGCACACAAAGCCCTACCGACTTGAACCCACCCACCCCTCTTAGCTGTCCCCTCCAGGCCAGCCAGTCAGCACTGGGCATTGCACAGGCGGCTCCCTCCTGGCCTGCCTGCTCCCCTCTGCCAGGTGCATCCTCTCCTTCTGCAGGCCCGACTCTCAGGTCATTTCCTCGGGCAGCATCCTCTGCGTGCCCTCCCTTCCCACCCACCCCACCCCCGAAGCCATGGGAGTAGGGCACTGCCCAGAGGAGTAGAGACAAATAAGGAGCCAAAGGACAGCACAGAGGGAGGACCCACAAAGGAGACACGACGATTAGCCAGAGAGGGAGGAGGGACACCGGGAGAGTGGAAAACGGAACCCAAAGGGGTCTGGGAAGCTACAGTGGGGCCTGTATAGAGTGGGCATTAGCTGAAAATACTCATCTCCGACATCTCAGAATGTAATAAAAATTCTAAGACTATTTGAGTTTCCTGATTTATAAAAATTGAACAATTACAAAGGACAATTAACAAATGATGCTGTACGCAAAAAGACAGGACCTCTTCTGGCCTTGCTTGCAATCAGACATATTTATGGTTTCAAGTGACATTACTCTGTTTAATAACAATTTTTAGTAATTATCTGTATCAAACCACATATATTATTTTGATGAGCAGAACACATTAAATATTAATCTTATATATTTACATTTCAAGGACTGTGCATTTGAAAGAACTGAAAATTACTTTTGGGAAAAGGATCTTGACCATTCCTCAGGAAAGGAGAAAACCCACCAAAACACACCTGATCGCACGATGCCGGTTTCGTTTGCCTGCTGGTGCCCACGCTAAAGAAAAGGCCCGAAGTACCCAATGTCCTTATTAAATAAAAAGAATGACAGCCCACACTGCATTCCTTTGGCTTGATGAAATAAATTCACAAATGTGTCTGCAAATCATTTCACCTTATTATGAGGAGGGTAAATGATAATTGCTTCAATTATAATTAGGGAGCATTTGAGAACAGAATTCCACCAGGACTTGGGCGATTATATTTCCTAGCACTGCAAACAGGGTTCCAGTACAGATAAAAAGTGAGAGAGAGCAAGAAGGGGACGAGGCAAACTCACTCAGCAAGATGGTGCTGTGAGGCTGCAGAGGGCTTTTATCCGGGCCCATGAAGGGTGATGGGGGTCTAACTGAAAACCAACCCACACTAAAGGTGGGGCCCTCAGGTGCTGGGAAAAGACAACCCCTTGCATGCTGACACCTTAGTCACCTCACCTGCTCCTAACCCCTGTGCACAAGTGACAGTGCCTGGACCAACTGCAGAAGGAGGGAGGCCGCAGGCCAGGGTGTGCACCACGCCCACATGGGACCGCAGCTCTCCCAGCCAGCCGACGAGGGGTCACAAAGCCCTACAAGTCACAACCTTAAACCTAGAACTCTGTCCATCTCAATGAAGTAGGAACCTTCTACCCAAACATTATGTCCCGAATCGCGATTACTGATGTTGATCTGTATAGAAATGAAGCAGTTCCAGGCCACGCTGGACACGTCAGTCAAGCCCTCTCTGACCCCCTCCCCTCAGTAAGATGGGCATTTACTTACCGCTCCTTTCAACACCAAACTCTTTTCCACTTAAAATATGGTGTAGGAGATTTTTCATATCAAAAGGGCTGAGGTTCATCAAACTTTCAGAAGCTTCTTCTCCTAAAAACAAACATCGTGTAAGTGTCCTGACACAGGCCTGGTGGCAGGGGAAGGTAGAGTGGCGTGGGCGTGGGGTGGTGGTGGAGACAAAGGGTACTGTGGGAGGTCTCCCTGCTCAGGATTACCTCTCTAGTGCTTCAGGACTGAAAGGTACTGATCCTTGGTGATTCTAAATGCTGCTATTTAAGTTGTATATTTTCTTAACTCAGACGCATAGTTTTTCACACTGTAATAACCCCCAATGTTGGAATGCATCTTGCGGTTGATTTACATATTTAAATGGGTAGGATTTCTCCCAGCAGAGGTCTTATGAAATGGGGGGGACATCTTACCACAAGGAGGAACAGTGAGGAACGCGGATGTCAGGGGCAGAGCAGAAGATTCTAGTGCCTCATTTGCCCTAACCTATGAAATTCAACACCCTGTGCTGGATAGTTTGGCGGAAGTTACATCTAAACGAGAGAATCTGGTGAAGCCGTGAGCCCACCCAAAGGCTCAGAAGCCCTGGTTCCAGAATACTTGGGCAGGGCTCCCCAGGGGCGGGTGGGTGCAGGAGCTGTGGGAGCCGCGTGTGAGAATCGCACCTGAACAGTTCAGGCTCCGCGCCAGCTCCGTGGCCATCACCTGAATGATGAGTCCAATCCGGAGTCTGAGCATCTCCACGAAGAGGCTGGGCTGTGCCCTGACATACATCGCCAGGTAAACCACAATCTCCTGACACAGACAGACGTGGAGACAGGGCTTCAGAGACTGGCTGGTGGCGGAGAAGCCCCTGCTGCCCCGAGACAGCCCTGCCCCTCCGTGGCCAGCTGACCTGTGTGAGCACGGCGATGCTGATGTCCTGCCCGCTGGCTTCGTAGATGAGTTCTGTGAGCTCCTCGGGGGGAAGAGGCCTAGGAAGGAGCGTCAGGACACAAACACCACAAAAGATGCCTCCTAGTCCTCTATGGAATATCCTCATTTTCCTGCTGGAAGTGCTCGAGTGACAGTGTCTATAAAAAGACTCTCTTCCTGAATGGTGGACAGCACTGATGTTTTCCCCCCAGGTACCACCCCCAAACCTGAGGCCCCAGGTTGAAAACTTACGCAGAGATGGTCTTCTCCCGGGGTTCTGGCGGCAGGCCCACCGTGAGCTGCTTCTGGTGCGACAGCAGGTCCGTGCAGGCCTACACATTTAAGAAAAGGGTGAGGGGGAGAAAGATTAGCAAAAGCCGGTGGGGAAGGATCACTGCCAATAAGATCATAAATTTACCTTTACAAACTTTATGACCCATGCTGCTATTTATTTGAAAATTCATACACAGACCCCAGACTGAGCAACCCAGCCAGAGTTGGGTCCCCGTGATCTTTTTGTCCCCAAAATGTGGCCCCAGGCCTGGCTCTGCAGGGCCTATTAGTGGGTATTTTATGCTCACCCCCTGTAGCAAACACACTGGATTCCCTGATATTCCATAAGGAGGATGAGTTGCTGTGAGTCCTAAAATACTGATGTTAAGAGTTAATGACCATATTATAGTCCTAAGTTGCCAGTTTCCCCATTATTCACATATAATAAATACCATCACCTTACTAAAACAGTGAACTTGGGGACTTCCCTAGTGGCACAGCGGTTAAGAATCCGCCTGCCAATGCAGGGGACACGGGTTCGAGCCCTGGGCCGGGAAGATCCCACATGCCACGGAGCAACTAAGCCCGTGCGCCACAACTACAGAGCCTGCGCTCTAGAGCCCGCGAGCCACAACTACTGAGCCCACGCGCTGTAACTACTGAAGCCTGAGTGCCTAGAGCCCATGCTCCGCAACAAGAGAAGCCACCGCAATGAGAAGCCCGCGCACCACAATGAAGAGTAGCCCCCGCTCGCCGCAACTGTAGAGAGCCCATGTGCAGCAATGAAGACCCAATGCAGCCATAAAATAAATAAATGAATGAATGAATGGGAAAAAGAAGAACGTGAATGTCATAGAAAGCAGTTCTGGAATTTGCAGGGCCTTGGGGTTAAAATACTGATGATGATTGTATGGCAGATGTGCAGAAATAAGAGAGCTCTGTTTAAGAGGGTGCCGGGCCACAGAGCGTTTTCATTTCATTTCTCGGTAAACCCTTTTCTGCAGCTAAGGAGTAACAAAACTAATCAACTTGAATTTCATTTCCTCTGCCTGTCTTCCAAGAGCAGTGGGAGGTCAGGACAGAAGGACCAGCTCCCTCTGTATATTAAACAACGCGTTTCCTTTACAAATGGAGGTGCTTGCCTCCAGCTTTCATAATAGGAAGACAGCACCGGGCTAGAGAAGACAAACAGACACCCTTCACGTGCATGGTTGTTCTGACCTCAGCCAGGACTTCCACTTTCTTCTTGAGTAGGCCAGAGATGTAGCGGATCAGACCCCACTCCTGGTTCAAGCCGGCTTTTCCATATAGCTCACTGAGGAGGTTGTGAACAGTGACCCCGTGCTGTCCAGAGAGATTTGTGTCCCAGCTGGGACCCCTGTCAAGACACGGAACACCCCAGAAGTATGGCCCAGAACGTTTCAAGGCCAGATTCTCTTGCAATAGAGCTCACTTGGCAGGGAGGGGAATGAATCACCACGCATTCTGCCAAGTGCTTGGGGGCTTCCCAGTGCCTTTGAGTCTCACCGAGAGGGCTGCGTCGTCTTCTGTCTATTTGAAACAGAAGCCTAACAGCAGGAAATGGTGAGATCCTGGCCTCACCCAGCCTTCTCATCTTGGGAGGGCAACACTAGTAGGTAGAGAAGGGGATGGGAGTCTGTTCACGGTGAGTCTGGGTAGCTTGGGTGACTATGACCATGATGTGGCTTGCTGGAAGGCCAAGAAGCCTAGGACAAAGAGCAAGGAGAAGAGAGAAAGCTCAACCTAGTGAAGACCACCGACTTACTTTATTACATACAGAATGTACAGAATGTCCGCTTGGTCCTGTAGGTTCGAACAGTCTTTCAGCTGCTCAGCCAGCTTCTCACAGTCTATGTTGCCGTGGTCATCTCTGGGAAACTGGAAGTCATCTTCAGGGGCCTGTCCATACAAAAGCCAAAAAGCAGGGGAGGGGGGCTGAGCATGCCAACTTCCAGAAGATCAGGAAGTGACACACCAACCTGGTCTTGGAACTCTGCTGCTGTGCTATGCTTCAGGTTTTCATTGTATCTTTTGGGGCTTTTTGTTTATATTTCTGATCGGTGAATCATTGTGTTAGTGGATGTTTGCAGGAGACTGAACTGAACAGGTTAAAATATGTGTAAATTTTATTTATGTAAAGGTCAAAAACAGGCAAAACCAACCCCTGGTGTTAGAATTCATGCTAGCAGTTACCTTTCGAGTGGAGGGGGAGGAAGCGACCGAGAGGGACACAGAGGGCGCTTGTTACGTACACGGGTCTATTGGCTCAGTGATAATTCATTGAGCTCTATACTTATATTTTATATACTTTTCTCTATATATGTTAAACTTCAATAAAATGTGTTTTGAAGGCAAAACACACACAAAAACTATGTGAGTTTTAAACAACCTAAAATTGTGGTTAGGTTTAAAACAGTCTCCAACAGACGCTGAATCTTTCTGATAAAATCAAAGGGAGCTTTGGATAAAATAACAAATTATGGGAACTAGTGGGGAACACCCTGGGATTTTATTCTCCAGAGGAATCTTTTTCTGGTTTTGTGCCCTGCTCCACAAGTAGCCCGGCTTTGGCTGGCTGGCACAGCTAGGACGGGGCTGGTAGCGAGCTAGCTCATTTCCTCTAACGTGACACAGATTCTGATGAGTGGCAGAATGTCAGTAGCCATCTCCTACACGCAAAATATAAAGATTTGCATCAAATTCAGTGTGCATACTGACACAAACCAGAAGCCAGACAACTAAGTGAGTGGGTGCGCATCAAAACCCAGAACTTCTAATCCTGAAAGTTCTGGATACCAAGAAATGTGCTCTTTTGAGTTCAACCATTTAAAAGAGTTCTTGGGGCTACACCAGCACCAAAGAACATTACACTTTTTGAAAAAGTGATTCTAAATACTTTACCTTTTTTAGGAGTGGCTGAGGAGAATCAACAAGATTCAGCGATTTACGGTGGGCACTTAGAACTTTAGTTGGCAAAGCCATGGGAACAACTAGAAAACAAACGAATAAAGAGAAAGCTCTTCGGAGCAGGAGGAAGGATAAAATACTTCTTTTAAGAGGTACGGTGGCTACTCCCTATTCAGTACAAACCAAGTAAGAAATGATTACTTACTTAGTTTCACTGATTTCAAAAAGAATTTTTCATGTGGCCACATCATGTGCTAACTCTGGAAATAAGAAATGAGCAGGACACACACAGATCTTGCTTTAAGGAGCTGAATTCCACTTTTCTCTCTTAGAATTCAGGGAAAACTACATAGCATCTAGGACTGGAAGGAGCCTTAGAAATGATTGAGTCCAACTTCTTTTTCTTTCAGATGTGGAAACTGAGAACCAGAGACGGTTTGTCCAAGGTTTGTCCAATGACCCTGTCATTTGTCCAAGGTCACTGGCCTTCTCATAATTGAGGTGTACCAGCTTCCTGTCCACTGTGTGTTTCACTTTGCCACTGCTGGGTGTTAGTGCTTCTGTTTTTTTAACCACCTAATTAATTAATTAATTTTTGGGGCTGCACTGTGCAGCTTGCAGGATCTTATTAGTTCCCTGACCAGGGACTGAACCTGGGCCCCAGCAGTGAAAGCACCGAGTCCTAACCACTGGACCATCAGGGAATTCCCCTTTTAACCACCTTTAGATGTTATCAGTATTTATTCATTAAGCCATCTCTGTCTGCCAGGGTATGTCATATCACCTTGGGAAAATAGGAAGCTTTCCAGGTAAAGATGAGGTATATTTAAAAGGCATTTATAGGGCTTCCCTGGTGGTACAGTGGTTAAGAATCCACCTGCCAATGCAGGGGACATGGGTTCAAGCCCTGGTCTGGGAGGATCCCACATGCCGCGGAGCAGCTAAGCCCGTGTGCCACAACTACTGAGCCTGCGCTCTACGGCCCACGAGCCACAACTACTGAGCCTGCGTGCTGCAACTACTGAAGCCCACGTGCCTAGAGCCCATGCTCTGCAACAAGAGAAGCCACCACCATGAGAAGCCCACGCACCGCAATGAAGAGTAGCCCCTGCTTGCCGCAACTAGAGAAAGCACGTACGCAGCAACAAAGACCCAACACAGCCAAAAATTAAAAATAAATAAATTTTAAAATAAATAAATAAAAGGCACTTATAGACCTTCAGGTAACACTAGTGGATTAAACATAAGTTTTACTTTCTCTTAAACCCCCACTAACAGTACAAAAAATAATAATTTTTAAAAAGGCAAATCCTAAAGAATAGGGAAGCAGGAGAGAAGACAATAGTAACATTTTGGAAGTGGGAAAGCTGAAGGATGAAAACATTTAGTGGACACAAGGCAACCAAACCCAAGACTGCAGTGGGGAAAACCAAGAACCAGTCAGATTTCTAACAGAGAATCCTCAGAAGTCTAAGGAGCTTGCTGCACCATGGACCTCTAGAACTTGGGGGTCCAGGGAGGGTAACCATAAGAAGGAAGATGGAGAAGAAGGTGTGTGAGAGGCAGTGAGCTCCCTAGATGCCTTGTGCAACTCCACACAGCTTGGCAACTGCCTTGCTCACCCTGATAGAAGGCTAGAAGGTCTCTCTGAAGAGGGTAAAAAAGGGGTGGTATGTGTGTCTCTGGAGGGGATGCTGACCCACATGTCTGAAGGTGTGGGTACATTCCTTGGGGGAATAAATGACTGTATAGCTCGAGGCAATCAGACCCTTACAGGTTAGAAAGGAGATTGCAAAGGATCTCTGGGAAATCTGCCCCGCCTTCACCCATAAACCCAACAGGCCCCATTTACAGGTACAGGCTTGGAGATTCTTATATGCGTGAGCAGTTAACCAAGGAACACCCAGCACTGGAGGAAAGACTCTACTCTGGGAGATAGAAACCAATACAAACAGGAAAAATTGACTTGAGGGAAATGGAAACCATTTAGGGAGAAGAAAATGTAAAAACAAAAACAAAAAGCCCTGCCATTAATTCTTAGAGTAGTAAGAATTATATTGCATTCATGAAACAAGAACAGATACAATTCAGAGAACAAAGATTTAAAACACGACAGCAAAAGTGGAAAAACTCAACTGAGCAGGTGGAACAAAAAGTTGAAGCAACTGCCCTCAGAACAGATCAAAAGACAGAGAAATGGAAGACGGGAGAGAAACGATAAAGACTTCTTCAGGAGGTCAACACTGGAATCATAAAGTACCAGAAAGAGAGGACAGAGAAAATGTAGGGAAGGAAATGAGTCAAGGAATTTTTCAGAAAAACTTTACAGGACTAAAAAATATAAATTTCCAGATAGAGAAGGCCCACTGAGTAGCCAACACAGTGGATGAAAATACACCCAGAACAAAGCACATCATTGAAATTTCAGAACCTGAGAGAAAATCCTACAAACTTGGAAAGAGAATAACAGTTTATATTTCAAGGATCAAAAATCAGAATGGGGCTTCCCTGGTGGCGCAGTGGTTGAGAGTCCGCCTGCCGATGCAGGGGACACGGGTTCGGGCCCCGGTCCGGGAAGATCCCACGTGCCGCGGAGCGGCTGGGCCTGTGAGCCATGGCCGCTGAGCCTGCGCGTCTGGAGCCTGTGCTCCGCAACGGGAGAGGCCACAACAGTGAGAGGCCCGTGTACCAAAAAAAAAATATATCAGGATGGGTTCAGATTTCTCAGTAGCAACACTGATAGCTAGAAGACAATGAAGAGATGCTTTCAAAATTCTTAAGGAAAATTTATTTTCAATCTAGAATGCTATACCCAGCCTAACTCTCAAATGGAGAATTTGTAGATATTTTCAGACTTGAAAGGTCTCGACAATTTTACCCACCATGAACTGTTTCCTAGGAAACTACTGGATGTCCTCCACCAAAATAAGATAGTAAGCTAAGAAAGAGGAAAAGTTGAGATACAGAAAACAGGAGAGCTAACAAAGGAGACAAGGAAGTCTCCCAGATGATGATGAAGGAACATTCCAGGATAAAATCTACATCCTGGACGTGGAGGGTGACCAGGCCAAAAGGGGCAGTGAACTCCAGAAACAAGCAAGTTAAGGGCTGTCATTACTGTGCCCTCTTCCATTGCACCATTTCTTAAAACCTACTGAAACTGTTCTAGAATGTATTCCACCAAAGGAATAAATTGAGAAAGGGGAACATGCCAGAATCAAGAAACAGGGAACCCAACTGAAGAGACAAGCAAAGGAGATTCCAAGGATTATAGTAAAGACAAGACCCAGGATGCCAGGTATGCAAGAGGCTTAGAGTGCAATCAGCCAGATGGGAGGAAACTTCTGGACTCTACGAAAAGCAGTGGAACCGTGAGATTCATACATATGATTCACCTTGTGGAAATTTGTATTGCGAGGCCATTGGAAGGTGTAGAAAGGAAGCGAAGCAAACTAAAAGATAGGGCAACTGTTAACTTTAGAAAAAACGAAAAGGAAAAATGATAATGTAGTATATTATTATACTGAGTTGGGAATAATATTTGCATACATACAATGACAGAAATAGTGAATACTGAGTTAACTAAACCTTAATACAACTGCATGGATAGGTTAGGGGAAGTGAAGCAGAGGAGTGGTGATTTAACACAGCTGAATTCCTCACCTGCACAAGAAGAAGTCAACAGATACTGAATAAAATCGATGCATCAAAGACAGCACTACAGACACATTATTTAGAAATATGTAAATACCAGGAGAAACAACTAAGAGTTGAACGTGGTTGCCTCTAAGTAGAAGGACTGGGAGCAGTGAGGAGGGGAGAGGTGAGGCAGGAAACAGCTGCATTTTGTTGTCGTTTAGGATTCTTGGACTTTTACATTATGCTCATGCATTACTTTGATAAAAGAAGTTATTTTAACAGGCAGAAAAGAGTTAATAATGTACATGGAATTTCCAAACCCTTTGCTTTTGCCATCACGGAAAGTATATCCTGAGTGGAGTAGATGGCACTGAAAACATGGCTGTCCTCTGTCTTCTTACAAAGAGGTGGCAGATAGCACTTCGAGGATGTGCTTTGCAGGAGGTGGTTGATATACTGGTCAAGTTCATCCTGGCTTTCTATAATTACACGGGTAAGAAAAAGAGCCAATGAAAACAAGCTGCAGAAATAACCTAAATGCATAATAGTGATTACGTGTAGCATGAAGTGCTGAGTAGATTTAGTGAAAGACAACATTTTGATATAGATATTTGACCTCCACTCTACCCCTGGAAAGTAAAGAGATTTACATAGATAATGCATGTATTCATAAAGTTATTGTTTGGAAAAACTTCATCCTAGAAAAAGAAAATACAGGTCCAAATAGTGTTTACATCACATCATCCCAAGATGAGCTGAATATGTAGACAATGAGAGGGCCAGCAGCCAACATCTGATCTTTTGGTTTTAATTTGTCATGAGTGAGCTAAGCATTATGGAATCCCCAGCCGCAATCCCAAGTACTATCTAAAAGTGAAAAACAGGTCACTTCAACCCAAAACCTTCCTCAGTTTGAGAAATGTTATACACAAAGGACTTCATCACTTATATCCAGTCAAACCAAATCATTCTACCATTTCTTTGAAAATTCAAGCAGTGTGTTTCTTTCTTTATATTTTGTGAAAAGTCCACATTCCTGAAACTCTTTGTCCCTCTAGGTTTAAAAAAGCCCCACTTTCACAGTTTAGGTTTATTAAAGTGGCATTTTATTCATTTTAATACGTGAAAGTTTCCAAAGACTCTTTTGTCATGTTAATTACAAATCCTTTACTGTGCTCGAGTTTTAGGGCAATTTTATCACAATGCCAAGGTTTAAATAAATTCAGGGACCACCTGCAAAGGCATTCCAAGCCGTACCTTGATTATAGGCGTCTTCGAAAAATCCTCCCAAATCTGAATCACTATCAGGACTGAAGCTCCCTTCACTGGTATCGTCAAACAACTTCTCATCACAGTCTGGATCCAGGAAGGTCAGATACGTGTAGAAAGAGGTGGTGAGAAATTCCGAAAGACTCCCTAATTTTACTCTGCCAAGGAAACACTATGTTAGAGATATAGGTGGATGTGGACAAACTTCCACTATGAATCATCGAGAGACTTTTCAATAACCAGGTGGCACTTCTGCCAGAATCAGTAAGCACGTCACTCTGCAGATTGCCCCATACAAGTAGTCAGCCAAGAAATTAAAATGAAAATTCAATAGCAAGTATGAAGTGGAAGCACACAGCATATTAAAAGCCAAAATGCATCATGCTGATTTCTTATCCCCAAACCCAACACAAACAGCAATCTATTTTATTGAACCAACCAAAGTTTTACAAAACATATTGAGCGAACCACTTTTAACCAGAACCAACCCTCGGGTATTTTTCGCCCTAAAACAACTGGACCAGGACAAAACCACAAGCAACGATTCTTTGGGTGCCCTCGTGCTACCTTTTATGAGTCCCTATCACTCAGCCACACAAGGCCCGGGGGAGGGTGGGGGGAAATGTTGGGAGAGGCACGTCTCAGAGCCAAAGTTCTCTCTAGAAAGAATGTGATGGCCGGGCCATCCCCGGATAGAGACAGTGGCCCAGAGGGGCCCTATTATCAGGCTGGGAAAAGTTCCACCGAAAACTGGGAGCTGGGTTTGGCAGTATGGGGTTCTGCTACAAAGGCAGCAGCCTCCGAGTTCTTGCTCCCTGAACCTGATTCACCCCCAGGTTCGGGGGGCAAGTGGGATGTCCACTGTTCAGAAAGAAAGCGGGCACTATGTGCTTCTTAAAGTGTCAGATCTGGAGGCAGAAAAGTGTAGGATGCCTCAGAGCTACCAGCATCAGATTATGACTTGTTTAAATGGCTTAGTTTGAGGAGAGTAAACAGAAGCATGCAGCTCAAATGAATTCACAGGTGCCTGAGCTTCCACGGGCAAGTACACTATGTCAAGAAACATTGCCTGAGGGAAAGAAAAGCCTTCCCTTAAATCAAGTAAAAACTTTCCCCCTAGAGCCCTGGGGTCAGTTCTAAGGATTGTTTTGCCCTGCGGTTGGAAACAGTAGGAGATGAGGTGGAGCCAGGGACCAGTTCCTCTCTGATGAAGTTGAAAGGAATCAGGTCAAAGGCGGAAAGGCTAAACCCTCTGATAGCAAGCGACCCCAGGTGGGTGCAGAGGGTAGAGTCTGGCATGTAGAGCGAGTTCAGTTTTTTAAATACCCTCAGACCTAAAAAACAGACAAAATGACATTCAACTTTAATTATGAAGAACTAAGTAGGAAGGGTAGCTGATGGAGCCTAGGCATTCCTGTTTCTTTCCATGGTTCTCTGAATTGTTTGCCATACTCCGTAACCAGGAAGCCCTCCTGATTCCTGTAAGCCCTCATCCAGCTCGGTATGGTGGTTACAGCCCCGTTTCTGGATTCACACAGAGCTTCTGCACCTACTCATCTTGTGCCCCTGGCTCTCTGAGCCTACAGATCCTTGCCCATAAAATAGGAATACAGCCTGCACGACAAAGTGAAGACAACATGAGACAACAGGTGCAAAGCCACAAAGAACACACTGCAAGTGCTCAACTAACTGCACACGGTATCCTTTTGACAATGATTAGATTTCAGTTAAAGAATTCATTTTGGAAAACAGTTAGTTATGGGCATATAGTATGGTCTCTCGGTTATGACACCATATGCCAGGTGGTAACTTATCCAAGCTGGATATGAAATGTACGAAAGCAGATGCCAACTGCAGTTATGGCGCCAGCCCTGGGAGCTAGATAGCAGAATGCTGGGGATGGCCTCGCTGACACTCATGAGAGAGGCCAGGAGAAGCTTGGAGCGAGGGCCACTTCGAGTCTACAGCAAAACCCGCAGCGAGCTTGGTGAGCAGAGGTGCCAAACCCAGTGCTTAGAAATCCAGTGACTCAACCCTGAGGACATCAGCCTAAGTGAAATAAGCCAGTCACACAAAAAAAACAAATACTGGATAAGTCCACTGAGACGAGACACCTGGAGACAAAAAGCAGACTGTAGTTGCCAGGGGCAGGGGTGGGGGGAGTTTCAGTTTTACAAGATGAAAAGAGTTCTAGAGATTGGTTGCAAACTACGTGAATATACTTAACGCAACCGAACTGTACACTTGAAAATGGTTAAGATGGCAATTTTTATGTGTATTTTATAATTTAAAAAAGTTACTGTGGCAGCAGGGTCCCTGGTGTGGGAGGATGTGACAAGAAGGGCTGACTTCAACTCCCAAACACTTTTAGCAACTGGCACTCCATCAGGACCCAAACGGCAGTCTCCCCAAGCTCGGCAAAGGCCACACATTACTCGGGCCAGCTGCGTGGTGAGGTTATCCTGGGGCCCTTCTGGCATATTCCAGGAGATTCACAGAGATCAGGGCATAGATGCTACTGAGAAATCCTCTGCCTTGTGACGGTCATGGGGTACAAAAACAAAAGGGGTTTCCATGGGAGGTGAGCCCCCTATCCCTCAAGGTGCTTCACTGTAATAGCTGGGAGCACCGGTTGGACTGTGGGCCTGCAAACCGGAATGGGCGTTGTTCCACGGAGGATGAGGGGACAGTGGTCTAGGGAGGCCCATTCAGGTGCTCTGGCTCTGAGGGCCACGAAGGAATTTGTAAAGTTCTGTGAATTATTCTTACGGCGTTAGCACACTCAAGTCAATTCCAGTAGTGATTTGATTACTGGGCACCGGCCAGATCCTAGGCCCTGGGTGTTTCCTAGCCTTTGAGTAGAAACAGACACAGCATCCCATACATGCACTCCGAGAGTGCCACTTCGGAGAGGCTTGATATGTTCATGTCTCTATGCCCCAGGCCTCCTGGCGTCCATAAAAGCTTCACAAACACCCACCAACTGATGCTTAGACATGATTCCAGTTTCACATGGGTGACTGGATTAGATGTTTTAACTCCCTTTTTATTCTAAAGCTCCACGCTTCTATGTTCGGCAAGTGATACGAAAAATGGAAGAAGGGCAGCAAAAGACTTTAAGAAAGGTCAACGTTACTTTTGCTTTTTAAAAAAAATCACAAATTACCTAGCTCCTCCAAAATATCCATCCTCTAGTTTTCGAATTGTAGAAAGAACAGCAGAATGAATATCTGAGCCATCGTTTGCTTAAAAAAAAAAAAAAGATCAATTAGTTTACTTAATCTGGGAATACTTTGTTTCATTATGCACTGAAACGTTTTCATCAACAAAATCTAATTAAAATATGTATGGCACAGAAGATTCCCGACCTAAGAAATCTAACTGCTAAGAACCCCCTTCAGTACTTAGCTCTGTCCATGGGATGCATTTTACACATTTTGAAAAGGGTCCAAACCACCAGTGGGACATGAGTCAAGCAGATCAAGTTCATGGAGTTACTGAGCATGGTATGGGTGATGGGGAAGGTGAGCGTGGGTCTGCCCGTCATCCGCCAGCAGGTGCACAGGTAGGCTAGCTCGATCCTCAGCATCTCCACGATCATCTCATTGTCCAGGGCCAGGTAGAAGTGATGCTGGTCAGTGAACTGCAAGTCAGAAGACGCCAGGTTCAAGGCTGTCCTTCACTTCCCTCGACATAACCCCAGCTGTCATTCACGGCAGCACTAATCCTTGCATTTTGTTTCCAGAGAAGAGGCTCAACCCTGGCTGTAATCCGCCCCCATAATGGGGCTCTCCTCGCGATCAGACAAATCGATCTGTCGCCTGCCCAGGAGCCAGAGCTACGTTAGTGCTAGCGCAGAAGGGAAAGTTGCACAACGAGATCTATTTACAGCTCCTTGGATGGGGATTTAAGGACCTGCCCCAATACCGCTGTCCCTGAAAGTAAATCAATAACTCCTTAATTCCTACACTGTCCAGGGCTGCTGGGCTCGGTGATGTTTTCCTAGTGGGGCCACCGAGAGCAGGTGAGACATGGAGACTGTGTTTACCTGATTCATGGCCTGGTTAATGTGAACTAAAGGCACTGTTGCCTGATGTTGATGAAAATCACTGTCGTCCTGGCCTCTGGACCAGTGCACGCTCAGTTCTGGTCTAAAATTTGTTACGAAGGGAAATAACTCACAAGATTTAAGCAAGCAGCACAGGCTGGGTGAAAAAGAGCAACTTGAGGCTACTGACCCATGACCCTACAGTCCAACTATGTCCCCAGAGAGCTGGGCGGCTATGTCCCATGTTGACAAAGTGATCCCTCAGTTGGCCTTTCTAGCTGCCCAAATGGATGAAAAACACTTCGTTTGCATTCCACAGGACTAGTTTCCTTTGGAAACAAAAACTCTGAAGAAAGGTTCCATAATCAGTATATTCAGGATCCTGTCAAGGGGGTTGGGACCTAAAAAATCAGACTTCCCATGTGGGATTCTGCTGACAGAGGACCTGCTAACAGCCTAAGCAAGGGTTAAGGACTATTGCAATTAGGGCACAAGGGCTGCGAGTCAAGTGGCATGTCACTAGCGAATTTGTAAAGTGGTATGAATTTCATACTGGAAGTGATGGCACGCTCAATTCGATTCAAGCCGCATTTATTGAGCACCTACCACGAGTAAAGAATTGTATTAGGTACTGGGTGTCATCTTATGTCTCTGTTTGAATACATGCATGCACATTCTGCCACATGCAAAGTACCTCTCCAGACGGAAAAGACAGCTTAATAAACAGATGCTTGTTGCTTTGTTACTGGCCTGCTCTTCTCACCTGGGGTGTGAAAGTAAAGATTTGGTTCCTAATCACATATAGTTTAGATGTTCCAAGGACTCCGATGTGCCGATATGGTCGCCCACTCAATTTCATATTCTTATTCCGTCCTATTTAGAAAATAAAAGAGAAATTCGAGCTAGAGCAAATACAGTGACCTCTAATCCAAGTGATTCTGTCTAAGACTGGGCTTATTTATATGTTAAACAACTCACTTTGGGGTTTGGTTTTTCTAATACTGTTATCCTTCTTTGGGACAAGGATGAATTAAAAACAAATCCCACCCCCTTCTTTTCATGCATATAGAAGAACAGCACCCGGTGCAACATCTATATGGAATAAAATTATTAAAAGGACTTTATTAATGTTCACTTTTTATTTATTTAGTATTGAACCATGATCCTAAACAAAGTCAGATTTTAGAAAAAGTAAAGAGAACCCATCTCCCATTTTAATGGGTAAATGAGCATTTTCTTAGACCACAGATAAAATTTAGAAACATCACCAAGACACGAATGACTGTTCCAATTGTGACATTTCAAAGGTGGCTCCTTAGTTTACAAGAGCTGATGAATCACACTGCTACCTGTGGTGACATCTCCTGAACAGGCATGAGAGGAATGTGTTTGGTGGCCATTCCTCTTCACATGGAAGCTGTCAAACCACCTACTTAGTGCTTTGCCCAATTCCTTTGAATTTACACATATCACAGTCTCCCCCAGACCCCAAACCTAGAACCGAGATGCCCCCTCGCCAAAAATGCCCTGCTATTTCCCCAAACCTACCAAGCTTGGCATATATGTGACTAAGAATCCGGCCTGGCTGGACTCGGATTGGATGAATGTCGGCAATACTCTGCAAGCTCACCCCATGTTTCCTCAGCAACTCCTTAATGTGCTTGTTTTCTGCCAGAACAGTCACTGTGAACAAGAACATAGCACCTGCATGAGACGGCGGCCCTCGTCCCCTCACACGGATGTGTGCTGCTGTCTCCTCTCCTCTCTGGCCTGTGACAGCATGCTCTCCACGTGCTGGGTGGTTTTGAAAGGGAGAGCGCTTGTCCTGTCACTCTACCTGGTTTGCTCTGGCCTTGCCTCCCCTCAGCACCCACAGTGCATATTTATCAAGTGCCCTCAATGTGCAAGACAGTCTGGGACTTCTAGAAGTGGTCTTCAACAGGTCCCAAAATGAATTACCCATCTCAAATGATGTCTTGCTTCCCTGTGGGTCTGCATTTATTCGAAGCCTGTCTTGTGTTCTTTTCACATGGGGTCAGGAGTGGAAACAGCTTTGCAAAGGGGATACCAGAAGAAGTCTGTGCCTGTGCTCTCAAAGACAGAAGAGCAATATAGTGGTGTGCGCGGCAGGGGATGCTCTGACCGAGGGGGGGGAGGAGGAGGGGGGAGGAGATTTTATGCTCTGGAGAGAAGGAAAAGTGGGCCTACCAGTGGGCTGGTGGTAGTGGGGCAGCCTGGCCCACTGGGAAACACAGCACAGGGCCCCCCGCCAGTAGGGAAGAGCCACCCCAGAGCTGGGCTACGCACCCAGTGGGCCGGCCTGAGCCCCATCTCCAGTGAATGAGGCTGGGCATCTGACTCTCTAGCAGGCAAGGCTCTGGGATGCCTGGGATGTAGGGGCCGGAGGTGGGCTCAGACCCCCCCATACCTGCTGTACCAGTACTGCTGGCTTTTAAGAGAAGGGACAGGGCTTCCCTGGTGGCACAGTGGTTGAGAGTCCGCCTGCCGATGCAGGGGACACGGGTTCGTGCCCCGGTCCGGGAATATCCCACATGCCGCAGAGCGGCTGGGCCCGTGAGCCATGGCCGCTGAGCCTGCGCGTCCGGAGCCTGTGCTCCGCAACGGGAGAGGCCACAACAGTGAGAGGCCCGCGTACCGAAAAAAAAAAAAAAAAGAGAGAAGGGACAGTGCTTTGGCAAAAGGAAGGAGTCCTGGGGAGGGAACTGGAGAAAGGGAGTTCTGGCCACAGAGAGAGTGGCTGGTGCTGTGTCCACCTGCAGCTGAGCCTGCCAGGAACTGGAGGGGCTCGGGGCGGTGCTCAGGCCAGAGGAAAGACTTGGTTACTGTTAAGGTAGCTCCCTGAGCCCAACCACTGTACCCTCAGGCTGGTGGCACCTGAACGTATGATACATATAAATGCCACTGAGACCTGAATGTCACCTCCTTATATTTACATAGCACATGATGCTGTTTCAAAGTATTTTAATATTCATGATCTCATCTGAGCTTCACAGCAAGGCCCTGAGGGGAAGCCTTGCTGCTCGACTGGCCAGCTGTAGCTGAGCAGGGACTGGAAGCTAACCCCCCAGGCCCCAGCATGGGAACATCAGCCATGCAGGACTGGGCGAGCAGCTTCCCTTAACACCCGTCTCTTTGGAAGATTACAACACCGTGCAGAGATCTCCACGTATCAGAGCCACAAGGCGGTCACTCTGTAGAAGTGACTCTTTCAGACAGGTGGCTTGACCAAGACCTGTGAGCCTGGTGATCTGAGAGAGCTGCACGCAGAGAAGTTTCTGAAACTGCACTTCTCCTTCCTCCAGACCACAGCCTCTGATATTTTCTACTCTGTTTTCTTCTATTGCATTTAAAAAAAAAAAAAAAGTGGTGCTCAGGATCCATCGATGCACCCCAGCCTGCAATTGGAAGAGCGGCCTTGTGGACTTAAGGGATCACTTAGCAGCATGTGCTCTGGTGACGGGCAGAGACTGTGGGGTCAGGCTGGATCACGCCACCTGGATGTCAGAGCTGGGTTTGCACCTCCAGCTGTCAGCCGTGGGTCCCTGAGTAAGTTAACCCCTTAGCCTCATGTGTAAGAGGGGGATGATAATCATGATCGTCACACTTTCTACCTGATCGGAATGTTGTGATGGTTGGGTGCGTCTCTCTGTGGGCCTGGGGCACAGTATCGACTGGGTGATGACCTGCACGACCTCTGCTGTATCACGGACAGGCATAGCCAAATGCATCCGTGGCCACAGAAAGGGTTGCCCTTCATTTGCTCAATAATTGTTTTTAATGTATTGAATGCGTGTGTATCAATCAACATAGAAGCTACAAAAATGATAAGGCCCTTGTCCTTAAGAAATGTACAGTGTCCTCTAGGGGACACAAGGCGTAGTCACGACACGCTATGATACTTAGCTGGTATATAAGTCACTCTATGAGGTTTGTGAGCTCCTGGGGAGTCCTTCCTAGGAGGGGAAGTAGGGAGAGGAATCGGCCAGCAGGGAGCATTCTAGGCCTGGCCCTGCACTGAGGGCTTTCCCTGTGGATCTCAATTCCTCTCAAGACCACCCTGTGAGAGAGCACCGGTCAGGAGAGCCCGAGGCACACAGAGGTGAAGTCACATGGCTAGTCAGAGCCAGTGCCGCAGCAGTAGCCCAGGTTGGCCTTGCACTTCTGCGGAAGAGTTGCCGGCTGGAGAGGAGGGGAGATGGGTGGAGGGAGGTGAAAACATGGGCCTGCAGCTCTGGAAAGAAGTCAGACCTCCAAGGGAGGAACGAGTGAACCCTCATTTGGGTTTTGAGTTTTCAACAAGGTCACGTTCTACTTTTTAAAGAATAGCAGTTATGAAAAATGATGCTCAATGAATCACTTGTGCCCCAGTTGCAATCAAGGTTTAGATTCAAGAAACAATTGCTTTGTAGAAAGTAACTTTGTGATCGGAAGCAGCTGAGTTACAGAACATATTTCACAGAATACATGCTAAAACATATACACATGCAGATTTTTAAAAATTACATAGGAACACTTCACTTTAAAAATAACATTGGTTTTACAAAGTTAAATATGAATAGTAAACATGCTCACAAACCTTGTACTACGACATCAGGTTTGACGGAAGTGGAAAATCTTCTACTTAAGGGATCAATTTCACCAGTGGCAAGGAATCCCTAGGAAAAGAGGAGCATTAACACTATGAAATACTGATTAACTGAAATTTCACCTTAAACCTAAGTTTGAAAATAAAATATTTGGGGGCTCAAAATCTTCAGTGTTTTATTCCTTTATCATTTTTCAAGGCAAATGCTTATTTTCTCTGAACTACAGTATACCATTTAGATGGCACTGATCAATGTATTGCGTTTTTGGCACCCAGCTCTCCAGGGCTAGTCAGAGATGCCAAAGTTGTGTGAGTGAAAAGAACAAGGGTAACTCATGCTTCCTGAGCCCTTACCCCGCGTCAGGTACCGTGCTGAGCCCTGTACATGCACTGTCACACAGGCCTCCTAACAGGGAGGCACTACCATTCGCACATCTTACAGGTGGGGAAACCGAGGCAATGTCCTTAGGGTAAGGACTTGGCCCAGAGTTGACTGTCCTGAAACACAAAACTCCCCTGCCTGCTGGCAGAGTGCTCTTTGAATGTGGATCTCCTCATATTTTCTATAAATGATGGGAACCTTAAGAGAAGGGATCAAGGTGTTCTGGGAGTTCTGAGGAGAAGTTGGACCTAATGCTGGGCCTAGATGAGGGCCTTTACATTGAGAGAAGGAAACAAAAGCAAGTTTGTTTCCCATGTCACTGATACAGAAATCAGAGCTGCACCATATTGCAGAGATGATAAAGCCCAACCTCTTTACTTTAAAGATGAGGAAACGTGAAAAAAACCCCTATATTTAAATAAAGCTGTACAACATTAAAAAATAATAATAATAAAGATGAGGAAACCGAGGCCCAGGGAGATTAAGAGACCTGCCCGAGGTTAAAGAGCTAGTCAGAGGCAGGGCTGGCTTTCCAAAGGAGATATATGTGCTTCCCTACTCATAAAGACAAAAGTATAAGACACAGTCTCCACCCCCAAGAACATGTCCATGAAACTGCAGAGATGATCATATCCATGAAGCAACTACTCTATCTCAGCACCGAAGGGCCACTTGCACTGTGATAGCTTCACTTGGGTCTTCCTTTCACCCACCAGGAACTCCAGTGACATCCAACCCATTGCTCCCCTGGCTCCCCCGCCCCCCACACCCCTCCCCAGGGGTCCAAAGCATTCAGCTGGGCAGGATCCTCCCAGGAAAGATGAGCCATCCGATAAAAATCACTCACACTTAGGACTGGGGAGGGGGATTCATTTTTAGCTGGCACAAAAGCATTTGTATTTTAAAAACTTAAACCTGGGGGCAAGAAAATGCTTAACAAGGAGGAATGAGTCAGAGGCAGCAGACCTTCTGTGTGGCAGTGTTACTGGCTGAGGGAGCGGCCGACACAAAATCCACTACAGAAGAACCAGCCCGCTGCCCCTTCCTGGAGAGAGCACTGGAGCATCAGAGTCCTCCTGCTTCCTGCACCTAAGACCGTGTGGAGTAGTCCCCCAAACCCTGCATCTTTCATACATGTGCTGATCCTGGCTGAGAAGTTTCCGGCCCTCCTACCGACCATCAACTCAACCAGGTTCTAGCCACAGACCAGGAATGCTGGTGGGAAGGGGCGCTGGGGGAGGGACAGAGAGTGCTTGGCTTGCAGCTAAGCCCAAAACGGTTTACTATAAATACGGACACAAGCCTAGGTCTCAAGCCTCAGAGTCAACCCCAACCAGTTGACCTGAAAGCCATGAAGATGCCAAAGACGGGTGACTTCCCTGGCGGGCGGTCCAGTGGTTGGGACTTCACCTTCCAGTGCAGGGGGTGTGGGTTCCATCCCTGGTCGGGGAGCTAAGATCCCACATGCCTCGTGGCCAAAAAAACAGAACATAAAAAACAACAACAACAACAAAAAACAGAAGCAATATTGTAACAAATTCAATAAAGACTTTAAAAATGGTCCACGTTAAAAAAAAATCTTAAAAAAAATTTAAAAAGAATGTAATCTTAAAAAAAAAAAAAGATGCCAAAGATATTCATAGCCACACGGAGCAGAGAGCCCCTGTGTTCTTCCAGGGTCCCCTGAACTTCCAATCAGATGGTTTCCAGGCTGTGAAGCCCCCAAGTCCCTTACCTCTGCCAACAGGGAGCTGAGGATGTACAAGGACTGACCCCACAGATGGGGCAGCTTCCCCAGAGGAACTCTGTCCACCGTGTGAGGATTCTTATACTCTTCATCTACCTGGCAAAGAGAGGAAAACCCGAAGTCAGAATGTCAGAGGAGAAAATGGCCAACGTCACTACATGGGGAGCTCACGGAGGATTTACAAAATGCCACTCATTTGATCCTCCAAACCAATTCTATGCGAGAGCTGGGATAAGGAGGCCATGGAGGCTGAGGCCCTTGCGCGGGGGGCCACGTGGCTAAAAGCAGCAGAGGTGGAACTCAAACCCAGGCCTGGTTCCAGCCAGTGCTCTTCCCACAAGCACACTGATGGCAAAAGGCAGAGAGATAGGCACTGGAAACTGGGCCTGCTGTCTTTGAGCACAGCTCTGGGCAACAAGAAATGTCACAGCTCATACTTATATTTGGTTGCATTATGGGTACAATGATCTAAAACATCAGCCAACAGTCATGGCAGTGTAGTTCTGGATGCTGAGTCAGGTTTCTATCTTGCTCTCCTCAGGGGTTCATAAACTCAGTGTGCAGATGCAAGAAAATTACCAGAAGGTGGCGCTATTTATTGAGGAAAAACAACTGTATTATTAGATCACTAATTTTCCATCAGGGACTCAAAAAGCTGAATCCATTGGGGGCTTTTGACTCATCAAAATAAGCTACAGTTCTCTTTCTGATGGACAGTGCTGGCTACGTGTTGTAAAAGGCTGCAATTTTCTCTGTTGTAAACTCCATGCTGACCTTTGGGTTTTGGGTCATTACAACGTTCGTTGGTTGGGGGAATGTTAGTGACCACTTTCTTCTCCAGAAAACATAAGCCAATTGAAGGAAATAGGAAACACATCTTTCTCCAAAGGGGAAAATCACATCATGAGACGAGCCATTCTCTGCTTGTGAATTAATCAGTGATGTTGTTAATATATGCAGTAAATTTTAAAAAATTTTCTGTAGTAAACTGAGAAAAACTTAAGCTCATAAACGGAACAGAATTAAATGTTACCAGTAATCAAATAATCAAATAGGATAATACGTGGAGGGAGATTCTCCAAAACATCATTGTGGTTATATTTGGGAAGTAAGATTCGGGAGAAATGTTTTCCTTCTATAGAATCTTGTATGTTTTGCAGTATGCAGAATTACTTTTACAGTCAGATTGTACATTAAAACTTTTTGAAATGTAAGTACTGTTAAGAAAGATTACATAGATCTGGAATGGGAAAGAGTCGATGCAAAGAACAGAAGGTAGACAAGATATCTGGGTCAAAAGACAGCTTGGCTCTGCCCTCCTCCCACCCATTGCTGGCTCCTGCCTCCCCGTGGAGGTATGTGTCTCCCCCTCTCCACCTCAGTCCTTCCAATCTGCTTGCAGGTCCTCTAATGCACCAAGCCTTTGCCGCCGGCGGTCCTCTGCCCTCCATCCCATGGATTCGCTCCTCCGACCCCCCTAGCCTGCAAGTTCGCAGAGGCAGAGCCAGCGTCATGACCCCTCTGTACCCCAGTACCTAGCCTGCTGCCCAGCCCGGAGCAGCTGCTCCAAGCAAGTCTGCTGGGTACGCTTGCGTTAGTCTCGAGCTGTCCAATGGAGGCCCCGTGGGTGGTGGCGCCTTGCAAAAGCCTGTCCACCTGAGGAAGTGAGTGACGCTGAAAGTCAGGCTGGATGGCGCCTTGGCCCAGAGCTGTGGCCACTCCAAGGGTGAGGCTCTTTTTCTAATTTGCACAAAGGTGCCATGTGGGTCGGGGCAGCCCCGTCTGTGGTGGTCTCTGCGTGTCACTGTGATGTGATGGGTGAACCTTCCCAGCTGTCATCCAGAACCAGCACAGATACAAACTGTGCTCAAAATAAAAGAGTGTTCAAAATCGGTGCCTAGCTGATGGGTAAACACACTGGATAAAGGAGGATACTGAAATGACAAGTACAAGCCCAAAGGTCAGTGTAGAGATCAGAAAAGAAAAGTTGCAGAGTAACCCTTTACAACATGTAGCCAGAACTGTTCACCAGGAAGAAAAGGAGAGCTTGTAACACCTAGCAGTTACTACAGTCAGGAAATATGCCTTTTAGTAGAACATGGATAGATGGTTATTCTCTATCATAAAACAGGTAAAACGCCCCTGAAGCTATTTATTTTCCCTTGCTATGCTTTCAGGTTCCAAATTACGGCCCATTACCAACTTTGTTTTGTCAAGTGCCTCAATACTGGAAAAGGGGCAACCTGAACACGCAGTTGCTAGGAAGTAACTACCCAGCCCCCACTGTCAGCCCCACCACCACCACCACATACACATCACACATAGTAAAATGAATACGTTTGTAGGAAACCTAGGTTTCTAACCGTTAGAAAGAAAACAGCCCCTGCAGGCTCCATGGCCTGATCTCTACAGTGAGGGACCGTCCATCCCCTGGAAATGCACCACCCATTAGGAGGCAGCGTGGGGTTGTGAGGAAGCCCTGAACCTGGGGTCTGGTTCCAGGCAGAGCCCAGTGCTGTCTGAGCTCTGCCTCTATGAACTGAGGCAGATAATTTCAAAGGCCTTTGCCAGTCCCCTGACCATGTGCTCGTGGGCCTGATTCAATCACAAACTCGTAGACCCAAGCTGCTGTGTGACAGCAGGGTTACGCTCTAGTGCAGGCCCTGTCAACCGGGGGAAGGACACTGCTCTCTGAAATCTCTTCCTCCCCAAAATGCAATAATGAAGCTTTGAAGCAACAGGAACATTCAAAAGAGAAATAGCCTTGAATCGAGAATTCTTTTCTGCTAAACATGAGATATGTATGGGGAAATCTTCCCATTGAGATATATAGGTCCATCATGACCCAAGCTAGGAAAGTGGATAGAAAAAACGATCTTTGGGCATCTTCTTGGAACTGGCCAGTTTCCCTCTTCATGATATAGAATGGTTTCTAAGTGATTACTCAAGCTCTAGCTCAGGAACTGCTTGACTCAAAGGAAGAGATTCTCAGCTACCCTATACAGGCACACCTCGGGTCCAGACCACTGCAATAAAATGAATATAAAGGGAGTCACGCAAATTTTTTGGTTTCCCATTGCATATAAAAGTTATGTTCACACTATACTGTAATCTATTAAGTGTGAAATAGCATTTTGTCTAAAAGAAATGTACGTATCTTAATTTAAACATATTTTGTTGCTAAAAAATACTAACCATCATCTGAACCTCCATGAAGTTCAGCAGTAGTAACATTAAAGATTACTGATCACACGTCAGCGTAACAAATATAGTAATAATGAAAAAGTCTGAAACGTTGTAAGAATTACCAAAACGTGACAGAGACACGAAGTGAGCAAATGCTATTGGAAGAACTCAATTAAGGGTTGCCACAAACTTCAATTTGTTTAAAAAAAAAAAACGCAGTTATCTGCGAAGTTGCAGTAAAGCGAGGTATGCCTATACATCTCTCCCCCTCTCCCAGGGAGATTCTGTCTGGTTTCTTCTTCCGTGGAAATGTGTGAGAACGTGGTGCCTAATAGTGTTTTGTGCTTTTTAGGGCCTGTGTGGCCTTGGGCTCGGAGAAGGACAAGTATCCTCTGAAAGTCCTCAACTAACGCCTCCCTTGGGCACCAGCCAGGTCAAGCATGGCTCCAAAGCCGTAACTCCTGTGATAAACAGGAACACTACTGAAGGCTTTAGAAACCACTTCTCCTGGAGAAAAAGTGTTAGGTCTGAAGGGCGAATGAAAAATACCAAAATGCCAAGCACCATCTCACTTTGTATTAGATAAACAGCACCTGGTTACCTTGTTAGGCGGGACGGCGTAGAGTTCAGGCATCAGGTGGATCCCGTTCTTGCCTCTGATTAATATTCCCTCCAGGGCCTCTCGGTATTCTTGGACCTGGAAAATAGCCCCATCCCCCACGGTAGGAAACAGCAGTGCAACACAGAAAAACAGCTCTCTTGGCAACAAACAGATCAGAAGTAGGACACAAGGCTAAGAAATGCACAAATGCCTTCAGCTCAAGGACTGCAGGAGGAAGCTGGACTCTTGCTGACAGCAAATGTTAGGAGGAGCTAAATGCGACTAGCCTTACATGTGTTGTCTTTAATTCGTGATTTAAATACTTCACTCTTAACTTCTCACATATTTAAATTTGGTCTCACCAGCTAGACTATAAGCTTTATGGAGTGGAGGCCAGATCTTAAGCAGTGCATCCACTTCCACCTGTTGGTAGTTTTCCACTGAAGAAGCCCTCGTTCAAACATTTATTGCTCACGAAATATTTGCTGAACGAATAAGATGTGAAGAAAAGGAAGTGTAGGTACTATGATCCATGTACCCCAATTTTTAGGATGTGCTACTCAGTAAAAGCTGTTGATGTAAACATTTCTATTAGATTAAAAAGGCAGCGATAAAACCCTATACACTAAAAGGGAAATGGAGAGATAAAAACCTATACATTAAAAGGGAAATGGAGAGGAAAAAACCCTTAATAGCCACCCAGCTATTTGACACATTTCATCTTTGGAGAGCCCAGTCAAATGCCTTCCAGATCTCATTTTCTTTTCGTTTGAAATTTATGGACCGCAAAGCACGACAGGGTGCATCACTTTAAAATGTGACTGGGCAGCAAGTGGAAGAGACAGCACAGGGGGCTAAGAGAAGTAAATTCTGTGAGACCTACAAAATAAGGTACTAAACAGGCTTTTCTGTCTCCTTAGCTTTTTTGTTGTTGTTGTTTCTGATAATTTTCAAGCTTGTTCATAATTGAAATTCCAACTCAATCTTTTTGAGATCTTTCAGTCTTGGGATAAAAAGACAGAAAACGTTAAGAACCGAGATAATCACTGAAGCATAAGAGTGAGAATCAACAAAGAGGAAACATTAATATTTGAAATTTACTGCCGCTTCTGAAACACCTCTGCATTCCTCAATAGAGGCAGCTTTCAAAAACTAAAACGAATCTTAGATTGCATATCCTACCCCAGAACCTGAGATCTGAACAGATTAAAAAAATAGCAAAGTGTTTGAGTTTGTCAGCCCCGTAAACTTCACGAGGACAGGTCTGTTCTGCTCACCAAAGTATGCACGGCAGCAAATGCTAAAGAAATCTGTCTCGAACAAATGAATGCTGCACTAACAAATATTCACTGAGTGCTTACTATGTACTAGGCGTGGGGCATACACCAGTGAACTGGAGAGAGACCACCTCTACCAGGGTCCTTTGACAACTAAGTGGGAAATACTGTTACAGGTGCCAAACGGTTGTAAGAACCGTGGGGCATATAAAAGGGGCACCTGACCCAGCTTTTAGGCTTTCTGAAAGAAGAGACACTTAAAACGAATCACGTGAAGGAGGGCGGGGAAGTTGGGGGTTGAAAGCATATCCTGGGCATTTGAGAGAACGGGAGAGACAGCATGGCCTGCTCAAAGGACTGAAAAAGTTTCCATGTGCTTGGATTACAGAACTCAAGAAAGGAAATAAGTAACAAGAAATTGGGGGCACACTGGTGAAAACGAGGGCCCGATCTTATGGGATCCTACAAAACATGTGAAGAGCTTGTACCTCATCCCAAAAGCAGTCAGGAAGCCATTCAGAGCTTCTAAGCAAAGCAGTAGCATAGTCTCTTTCTTAATAAGATCACTGGCAATGGTGTGGAGAAACAGCAGGAAGCGAGGCTGGGAGACCAGTTAGGAGGCTGACACATTAATTAAGACATTAGCTAAGAGTACCCTTAAGGATGGCAAAAGCACTGCTGGTCTGAAAAGAACAGCAGCAACAACAAAACCTGTGTGTGGAAGACTGTTTGGTGGCCCCCGACGACCCCCGCCTCCTAGTCCTCCAGCCTTCATGTAGGGCCCTCCCCTTGAATGGCTTACGATAAAAGGCCCTCAGATGTAACATATTGGGTTAGGCTAATCAACAGAGAATTTCCTGTCACCTGTTTTACCCTAAGCCGAAATTTGGTCCTCTCCTTGTGTCCTCAGATTAAAAAAAAAAAATGACCCTGGCATCTACCCTTGTCAAGGTTCTACATGGCCAGGATATTATAGAAACCATACTTACTTTTCCCAGCCTGTGTCCCTTCCACATTTAATATCTAATTGTTTCAGCCAAACTGATAATGATCAAGACACTCCAATATGGAAAAAGGTAAGACACTTGATCCCTGCCTTATCCTATATAAAATCCCTAAAAATAAGAGCCTAAGTTTTAACAATGTGTGGCATTCTATGTGCCCCCTCAGGCTACATCTCTGTCTATGGTTTACCCATCTTGGGCCTATGGATGCCTTGACAGCTGGCACATAGGTGGTATTTGTTTATTGGGATCAAAATGTTAACTTGAAACTGGGAACAAGCGAATATTTTCAAATGAGTGCTGAACAGTTTCATTTCACAAGCCCTAGTTGGGTCTATGCCCCTTATCGGCAGGAAGTATCCAGAGTGGTAATCTCCCTTCTTCCCTTAAGATGGAGGAATGATCAAAAGATAGGGTGGGGCTTCCCTGGTGGCGCAGTGGTTGAGAGTCCGCCTGCCGATGCAGGGGACATGGG